AGGGGAAGCAGGAGGCGGCCGTCTTCGATGCTGTGCTGGTGTGCACTGGGCACCACAGTGAAGCGCACCTCCCGCTGAGCACTTTCCCAGGTACCACCCTGCACCCCAGCATGAGGACAGACCCCAGAAACTTTGGTTGTGGCAGTCCCTATTCTCCCTGCTCCTCTTCCTCCTGGCCCCAGCATTTCCCTGCCTTGCTTTGGCTCCAAGATCTCTCCCATGCTCACCAGGAGTGGTCTGGCTGGGCCAGCGAGCGTTCCCACTTCAGTTTTTGGGAAGGCCACCCTTCAGCCCAGTGCCAGGAAGCCAAGTGTCCCTCCTCCCTGCCCACAGGAATCGAGAAGTTCAAGGGCCGCTACCTCCACAGCCGAGACTACAAGGACGCTCAGGATTTCACGGACAAGAATGTCGTTGTCATCGGGATTGGGAATTCGGGGTCAGACCTGGCCGTGGAGATCAGCCAAACAGCCAAGCAGGTGAGCTGCGTCCCAGGGGCAGGGAAGCCCCCCACGTGACACTGCCAGCTCCACGAGGACACTAGGACCAAGGTGTTGATCCATCCCAGCACTCGTTGCTTTTGGCACTGCCAGCACCCACCAATCCCAGCTGCCAGGCAGTGGTGGCAGTTGAGACTTGATCCCATATGGATACCCCAGTTTCCATTCCTGAGCCCTGGGCTGGGGCTGCCCCTGCGCTTCTTCTCTACCTCTGTCTGCGAGGCACCAACCGCTGGCTCTCTCTGCCCTCCGGGTATTCACCCAGTGCTTAGGCAGCACGAAGAGGAGCAATCCTGGGGCAAGGATGTGTCCTCCCCAGGGCAGCCCCCCAGGACCATCACAACCTTCAGGAGGTGATGCTTACTTCCTTGCCCAGGTCTTCCTCAGCACCCGCCGGGGCGCATGGGTCTTCAACCGCGTCGGAGATCAGGGCTACCCCATTGACATCGTCTTCACCACCCGCGTGAAGACATTCCTGCAGAAGCTGCTGAGCCCAAACGTGGTGAGCAACCTCACGGAGAAGCAGCTGAACGCCAGGTTCGACCACTCGCACTACGGCCTGAAGCCAAAGCACAGGTGCCAGCAAATGCTCCCCCTGCCCAGGAGGGACACTCTGCCTCCCAAACGTCCAGCCCTGCTTGGCCATTTCCACGCTCCCTGTGCCCAGGCTGGGGCCAAGGCGCCAGCACTGGAAACTCAGTTAATAGCTGTGTTGTGCCCAGGCAATGCTTGAGGGAGACACCGCTGCCCCTTCCAGTGACCCTTGGTGGCACCAGTGCAGTGGCAGTTGCCAAGCATCCCTAGGGGACCACCCCCACTAGCGATGAGCATCCCTGGGGATGAGCATCCCCAGAGCAGGGAGCAGTGGCTGGAGCGAGACACAGAGCAGAGACACCCCACCCCAGCAACCTGATGGCTCCTTGTACCTTACAGGGTCTTTGACCAACACCCAACTGTCAACGACGACCTGCCCAACCGCATCATTTC